TCTATTTCTGTATTCTGGCACCCTTATGCCTTATTTAGCATTTGGGATGTCATAGCGCATGCGACCCACAACCTGAAAAAGCGAAACCAACAGTTGGTAGGCCCCAACCTGGCTGCCCCATACGATCACAATAGAAACCGGCTTAAAAGGCCCAAGCCATGCAAGCCTAGGGCCCTCACAGTCCTACCCCTCATAACCTGAGTGAGCCAGTCGACCCAACCCAATCGGGTTGCCCTAAAAACTGGTTGTCCCAAAAAATCAACCTACTTTTTAATTGCCCATGTTTTAAATTAAAATTTCACATGTTTAAATTAATTTCTCCATGTATTTTACATGAAAGTCACATGGGATTATCATATTTTAAATATTATTTTAATGTAAATTCTATCTCTAAAATTATTTAATTAATTTATTTGTACTTAGATGGGATAGAATAAGTATTTTATTATGTAATTATTCAATAATTAGATAAAATTTTATCTAGGATATTATTTTATTATTTTATTATTTTATGCAAAAGTTTGTACTCATTTAGATTTTTTGAAAAATGATATAAATAGGTCTTTACCCATAGGTTGTAAACACATCAGTTACAATCAATTTGAGAGAATTCTTAAAAGGTTAGACTTTTCATCTATTAAAATTTTTGCTAATTTAGCTTCTTCAAGTCTTCAAAAATCTTTCTGAGCCAAGGAGCAGGGATTAACTTATCGGTAAGTCTGTAGCATTTTTCCTTTCTTTATTTCATTTTTCCTACTCTTTGTTTTTGCATTCCTTTTAGAATTATAGATTCAATTAGAGAGAGGGGTTTATCTAAGTGGTTAAAGTTTCGATATTGCATAACGTTAAGTGAGTTATAGGAGTTGATTTAATCCTCCCATACCCTCCCGCATCATAACGTCTTTACCTTTACATGAAATTAAGAATAAAAATGGACAGTAAAGAGCAGAGCTCATTAGAGCCATATATGAGAATGTTAGACAACATATCCAAAAGCAGAATAAATCATATATGTATAACGCTAACAAAGGAAGGAAACAAGTCGTATTCTAACCAAGCAATCAGGTTTGGGTTCATATGTAAAAGAAAAGATTTTTCAAGCAACCAAAATCTAAGTTGGTTCTGAGAGGAGACAGATTATTTCAACTCTTGGAGTGTGTCAACGACAACGCCTATAAGATTGATCTCCCAGGTGAGTATGTAATATCTGCTACTTTTAATGTTTCTGATCTTTTTTATATATATATAAGTGACGATTCGATGATGAATCTTTTTGAAAAAGGGAGCGAAGATGTGAACTTGGACACATAAGGAATGCATTTCTCGAAGAGTCGAAAGAAGCACACCTGTGAGCAGTAGGGAAATTCATGCACCCACGAGCTCACCTGTGATGAGTGCACGAGATAAGACATCTATGCATGTGAGGATAGCATAGAAGGTCGTCCACGTGCACACGAAGGCAGCATGCGCACGCCCAGCATGCATGCACTTATAGGACATGAAGAAGAGAAATCACACACCGGTGTAGATTCCTAATCTGTGGGAACATGGATTCCTCATTCCCTTTGGATTCCAACAAATCCAAAGTCAAAATGGAAGCTACTTTCGATCCTTCCAATTTTTTTAAACAGGTTCAAGCACCAAACTAATCCAAGATCCACCAAGAAGATGAGCTTAAAGATTTGGGAAAGAAGATTTAAGTCCCTTTAGGCCCAATCACTATGGAAAAGTCCAAAAAGATTCAATAAACCTTCAATTTGTTTGTCCAATATTGGATTAATGAAGAGTTTTTCTTAGAAGCCCAATAAGCTGCAACGAGAAGCCCAAGAATTCAAAACAAGCCTCGGCCATGTGTAGTTTTGGCCATAGACTCACAAGGCTAAAAGGAAGGAAGATAAACAAGACCTACCCATGCAAGATCCTTTTCCACATATGCAAACCAAATTTCATTCTCCTTGGAAGATTGAGAAGTCCTAATTTGACTTGAAGAGGCATGTGGCAAAAAGAATATTTCAAGAAGACATCGACTACAAGAGTCCTAAAATAAGAAGGCTCATAGAATGCGAGTTTGAGGAGAAGAGGAACATTCTGCCAAGGGGAAAGACTTACCCAATAAGAAAATCAATTCCCTCTCCTTCTGCGATTCTTTTTTCTTTGTTTGTGAGTCCCATTTTAATTAAACCTGCTGCCATGAAGACTCTTACTAGAATTCAAGATCAATATCCAAAAAGGAGATTGAATTCTTTAAGAGAAAGAGGAGCTAGAATCCATGGGGAGTTTGGCCAAGGAATCTCTCTCCTAACCGGATTCCCATTTCACCTTCCTACTCCAACACTGCCAAATCTCATGTATATATAACAAGGATTCATTATCAAAAATTCAATTAAATAAAGATGGATCAAGCTTAAAAGACTTCAACCATTCAAGATCGATCAGTACACCTCATTTAACCAAGAGAGGAATAAGTTGTTTTCTATTTGCTTTTAGTATTTTATTATTATTTTATATAATTCTAGATAAGGTAGAATTAAGAGTTTGAATTGGATTTTTAATTCCATTTTCTCGTAGAATAGTAAGGTGAATGCCTATATAAAGAGGCCACTACCCCCACTTGTAAACACGATTCAAATCATAAATAAAATATAGGTTTTTTGCTTCTAGATTTTGACTACAAGTGTGTGTATTTGTGTGTGTGTGTGTGTGTTTAGTGAGAGAGTCTTCAACGATTTTGTTGAGCTAGGAATTAGGATAAGGTAAGTTTGTGGTGTCTTTTCAATTTTAATTTCTTTTCTCGATTACCTTAGTTTACATTCGCAGGTTGAATGTGGATTAAGTATGAAAGGTCTACTTAGAGGTTTAAGTTTTTGCATATTGATATTATACGCGAGATTTTAGATTGCATGTGTTGATCCCGAGTTCCGCATCAAGAAAAATTCTATTATGACAAGTCTTGGTCGAGATTACACTTTTCTTCATCTCATGGTATAAATAGATTTTATGAATCTTACTTCAATTAGGATTTGTGTTTAAGTTTTCTCAAGGAATTTGAAGTCAATCTTGTAAGAGCTCTAATTAGTTTCCTCTTCATAAATTAATATTTTAAAGAAATCATCTTTGAAATATGAAAGTTCAAAGGGATAAGGAGTCCTCTTCATGATTGACCCTCACAAGAAAAAGGAGTTGTTTTTCTACTCAAACATGACTGGAATTTTATTCATATGTAACACAAAGTATACATCAAAAATTCAATAAATAATAAAGTCCCAATCTAGTCAAGACAAGGCAAGCACGATCCTTGAAGGAATCCTACATTATTCAAGAGAGAAGAGATTTAATCTATTTATATTTATGAGTCCTTCAATTAATTTTTTATTAGAATCCTAGATAAAATTGTATTTAGATTTTTTTAGGATTTAGTTTCTAATTTCTACTCATATTAGTAAAGTTTATGGCTATATAAAAGTCTCATTTCTTACACTGTAAACACTTCAAGTCAAATGAATAAAATTTCAAGTTTTTTTCAAGTTTTAGCTTTCATCTATTATGAGTGTTCTTTGAGTGTGCTCTTCGACCATCTTGTTAGTTTTACTTATCAAGAAAATTTCGTGACATTTTATCAATTTTTTATTCTTTTTTTTTTTCAATCACGAGTTGATTGTGGGTTAAATAGCGAAAGTTTATTTAGATATTAAACTTTTGCTAAATTGTATGTTAGGATTTTTTTATCATATTGATTGATTCTTGGTTCTGTGTCAGTTATGCTCAAATATTGTGTATATTGACATTTTCCTCTAATGCAATATTATGAACTTCAAGAAATAAGAGCAAATTACTAATTTAATATTTAAGGTATGAATTATATTGCAATTTAGTACTTTTATTTAATCCTTATAATTTAGTTCTTAGATTTACATAGTTGTTTTAAAATATAAATTTTTTAATGAAATGTTACATAAAAATAAAAAAAATTTCTTTCACTAGTTGGGTAACATAAAATGACTTAAAAATATATTATTTATATTTATATTTAAAATTTAAAAAATTTAAAAATAATTTTTAAAAGGATCTTCTACCTTTTTTAATATCTATTACCATGTATATTGCTTAAATATGACAAATTAATTATTATTATTAAGAATAATCTTTAGCCAAAGCATTCAAATTTCACTAACAACAAAGGAGTAAGCAAAACAAAAAAGTTTGTTGTTTTTTGTCAATTTTTAAAATTGTATTATAATATCATGAACTAAATAATTGTATAGATTTAAGACTTAATTATAAAATGATAAATAATTTAATAATTTAAATGATAACTTTTCCAACTTTGAAATTACCCAACAAAGTAATCAACATGGTAGAAATCCGTTGATTTTTGTAAACATATCATTTTATTTTTGTCAAAACTTTTAAAATTGTATTATGACAACATGAATTAAATCATTTTACAAATGTGAGAACCATATTATAATAGAAACATTAAAATTAATTATAAAATTATTAATAATTTAATAACTAAATTAACTAGTTCTCAAATTTTAAGCTTATCCAACAAATAAAATAGAAAACTTATGCCAAAATATATCTCCCTCCAAACAAAATAGAAGTAGACGTTTGTTCACAAATCCTTTTTTAAAAGAAAACTGATATATATACCTGGTTTAATCTAGAAAAAGTAAAAACGTAAAATGAAAATTTTCATAATAATTTTAGATACATAATTTACGTTGTGACAGTTGGATAATCCTCTTAATGAGTCCATTTATTAAATTTATGATTTACTAATTGATGTTTTTAAAATAAGAGTATAACAATAGTAATTTAGTATTAACATTTAATTTTTTAAAATTATTTAAATAATTCTATTTAAAAAATAAATAATAATAATATAAGCTAAATTTAAATAAATATTTTAAAATAATTTAAATTATTAAAATATTTCATTATTTAAATAATTATAATATAATTGATAACATAATTAATTAAATATAACAACAATGAAATTTTTCCAAGCCAATTCACCAAATACCACTTTTAAAGCTTATATAACTGGGTATTTTACAACACTTCTACAGCACAAATAGCAGTAAGGACCCATAAAATAAAGAAAAGATAAAACACAAATAGACACAAGGGTCAACAAAGGTCATAAAAAGTGCAGAACACATTATTGCCTTGGTATATAAGCAACATATTCAAACTTAAGAGTGAGGTCACAGAAGTACATCACTCATGGAGAGGGTGATAAATACATACAGACTTGAGATTCAGAAGTCCCTATCTGGAAAGAGAACAGGAGCAACCAAGGACCAGGTATAGAGAGCTGCAGTTGCCCAGCCAGTTACAATCCGAACCCAAACAGATGGCCAACCAACATCAACCAACTTCCCACTTCCCCCAACTGAGGTCGACCACCCAGTTAGAAGCATGGCAGAATACATACTTGCAAGACAAAATATGATATGGAAGAAGGAATAAGAATATGTTACTGGCTTTGTCTTCTCTTCCTCTTTCTTCCCATCCAACGGAAGCAGAGGTTTATCAGAACCTTCACCAGAGAAACCAAAACATTAGACCAACCCACAAATATTGGAGATACCTTACTTTACTTTCTCCTTTCCAGAATAAGACATCTACTTACATGAATTTTCTTTTTGAGATTCGTACATTACCTGCACGGGGAGAACTTGGAGGAGAAAGAAGGGTCGTAGAAGACCCAGCACGAACAGCAGAGTACACAACTGAGAGAACAGTTGTCAGCAGGCCAATGCTCATGGTTCCTGTTGAAACGGCCTTAGAATGCTTGTGAAGACCATTGCACTGGTAGTCCCTTGGTTCACTTGCTAGTCCACTGTAGCAGAGGTACATGCAGTACAAAGATATAACTGAAGCTGGCAATATGCTACCACCTACCTGCACAGCAAGGAATGGCAGAGCCATTTTTGTCAATGCAAGACTTTCAAACTAAGCCGCTAGATACATTTTAAATGAGTAGAACTTAAAATGCATTTTCTTATTTCCATTTGAAACTATTTAGAAAATTTTTTAAGTTTGCTAAGAATCTCCATCATCTTATAATGAAAATACGTATGAATTTCAAACAAATTATACAAAGTTAACTTAGTTCCAAATATAGCTTTTAATTGATTGTTAGAGAATGAAGACCCCTTCTAATATCCAATAGAATTCCAAGGGGAATTGAATTCAAAGCAATGTGTTTCAAAATATACTAGAAGTTCTTTCGACATTGTCAATTGTCATTCTTTTATAAAGATTTTTCATCCTCTTATGGCTGGACAAATACAGATTTCCAATGAATTCCATAGAACTAGTTCATTTGTTCTGAGCATAGTAATATTCTGCACATGCATAAGGTTTATGAATCATTTCTTCACATTCACATACGACTAATTACAACGGTTACCTTACTGATGTTGTTCTGTATACTTGAGCAAATAAAAGCACCTTGCACAGGACATATTAATAGCAATAGCAGAAACAACATGATTACTACTAAAATTGATTGCTAACTAGTTTATTACCACTTTAGCAGAATGAAGCAAGAGGAGACACGACAAAATGAGGCATTTGTATCGATATCAATTAATCAGCAAAAGTTACTCACCTCTCCTTTTGCCACTTATCACACTGACAAAAACACACTTTGCCAGCCTAAGATGGAGAAAATTCTCTTCCTAAAATATAAATGAGATGTATGTAAATGCAAAAGGATGGATCAATAAATGTAAACTCAAGAACTTACTGCAGGATGAAGTGCAACTATGGCAAATACAAAGGCAAGAATTAGGGTCATGACAATAAAGAAGGTGTTGAGTCCACAATCCTGTCCTGACGGTGTGAACCAGTGGAATAGAAGTCCCGAGAAGGCAAATGTTGCCACATAACAAACAAGAGAAACAACAAATAGGGCAATGTACCTACATAAATAAGTAAAACATAAACATTGAAACATGGAAATTAACGTAAAAATGACCAGAGAAGGAACATTTGGGTTATATTGAGTCATAAGATTGAGACATGATGTTAGGATAAAAGGAACTACACCAAACTAACCAGAACTGCTCATCATATCCAACCCATTTGTCATTCCATCCATGAACGAAGTCCAACAGAAGCACTACTTGAACAAGAAGAAACAGTCCCGAGCCAAACTTTGATACTGACTCTGCAAATGTGAAACATAAACATTGATATAAGTTATGGCATTATGGGTCAGGTACTAGACAAATCTTGTATGCGTTCCTATAAAAAGAAATTTGCCAATTTTCCTGGGTCATAAAGAGGTGTGAGAAATATAAGAACTCTTGAACATCACACTTAGTGCTTCTTAAACATCATATCAAACAGTATAGTATGATTCATTCACATGCACCAAAGAGATGCAAGCCCAAGAACAATGATATTTAATGTTGATCAAAATGTCGATAAGGTCCCCCACCCCGCCAACTTGTCTAAAGTCAAAATACAGCCTCTACCAGCCTCCCAAGCCAAAAAGCAACTCTAAGTGGAGCACTAACCTTTCAGATGTGTCATAATGGGGAAGTAGTACTTGTGGCTTCTTTTTTAGTCAAATGATTGTAGAAAGATTTGACCGAGAAACTCCCCCTAGCATCGAGCCTTCAAACTGATTGATCTCTACTCACATTAACTCTGACACTAGCAAGGGCTAGAAGAAGAGTCTCATACTCCTAATTTCCTAATCACTGAGATTTCTCACAACCTCCACATTCCATTCTCCCTTCCCCATAGTGCCACAATAGGACTCCTGTATCGACACTCTTGTACAGAGCAATAGCATAGATCCGAGATAACTGTTCTCTGAGTGTTCCACCCTCCAATCATGCCATAAGTTGATCCTATCCCCAATGTCAACCCTCCAACTGATATAGTCCTGGAATTACTCCAGCCTGTAAAATGTTTTTTCCATATTCTATTCTCGTTGGGTCTAGACAAGAGGCTGTACCATTCTCGATCTACGGTCCCAAACTTCGCCTCAATTACTCTCGACTAGGGACTATCATTTTCATTCATAAATCTCCAAAGTCATTAAACCTTAACAGCCACATTAACCTCCACCAAAGATTTCAAACACAGGTTGTCTTGAAACATAGACTTTTTTACCTCATTTCACGCCACAAGATGATACTTTCATCTGTCCTTTATGTCTCCCGTTAGAAATCTACACTGGATTGATTTTAATTTCTTGGCCACACCCGGGGTACTATCAATGGGTGGGGGACATGTAATAAATGGGGATGTTGACCATCGTGCTCTTAATAAGAGTGAGTCTCCCCTCTTAAGATAAGAGTATGAGTTCCTCTTAATGAGAGTATCATTGTGCACTTACTTCAACATTCGACATAACTTTATCTGATTGAGCAATCGTTAAAATAAAAAATACCAAAAAACATTTTGATGACTAGTTGAACCACTAAACAAGTGTCTAACCAATCTAGTGAAAACGGCTAACCCTTACTTGGAAAAGGACCCAAACAATGAAAATAAGATAAATTCTACTTGTATCTAGCCACAAATGTGGTTCACATACTAGCTTTCCATCACCGTCCAATGTCAAGGTTTTGCCGACAAGCTTGGCTTGAGGCGATGATTGTAACTCTTTAGATCGCATGCAATAAAGTAGTCGTGACTTGTACTGCTTGCAATCTGATGATGCA